TACAGATGCCAAAAAAAAAAAAGAAAAAGAAAAAGAAAAAAATGTTCAACATTACTTAATCATCAGGGAAATGCAAATCAAAACCATAATGAAATATCATTTCACCTTAGATGGCTATTATCAAAAAGAGAAAAAAATAAGAAATGCCCATGTGAACAAAACGAAACTCTTACACTGTTGGTGGGAATGTAAGCTAGTACAAACACTGCAGAGAACAGAATGGAGTTTCCTTTAAAAACTACAAGTAGAATTATATGATCCAGCAATCCCACTGGGACATTTATTGAAAGGATAGGAAATCAGTATATCAAAGAGATATCTGCATCCCCATATTTATTGCAGCACTATTCACAATAGCCAAGATATGGAATCAACCTAGGTGTCTAACAACAGATGAATGGATGAAGAAAATGTGGCATATATGTACAATGGAATACTATTTAGCCATAAAAAAGAATAAAATCCTGTCATTAGCAGCAGCACATATGTAACAGGGACATTATGTTATGTGAAATAAGCCAAGAAAAGAAGGTTAAGCAATGCATGTTCTCACATATATCCAGAAGCTTTAAAAAGTTGATCTTATAGAAGTAAAAAGTAGAAAAGAGGATACTAAAGGGTAGGAAGAGTCTGGGGAAGGAGGGGATAGGAAGATATTTGTTAAAGGATAAAAAATTACAGCTAGATAGCAGGAGTAAGTTTTCATGTTCTATACTACTGTAGGATGACTGTAGTTAACAATGTAGTTGCAGATAGCTAGAAGGAGGGTATTGAATATTCCCAACACAAAGAAATGGTAAATATTTCAGATGATGTATATGTTAATTACCCTGATCTGAACACTATACATTATACATATACACTATGTATATGTATACACATGCACTATACAATATACACTGTATATCAAAATATCACTATGACATAAATATGTACAGTTATTATATGTCAGTTTTTACAAAATCTCACCAGGGTCCTACAAATTTAGGTACTGTTATTATTCTCATTTTACATTTGAGGAAACTGAGGCACAGATAAATTTATAAACTGGCCCAGTGTTGCATACCTAATAAGAAGTAGTGCACTGATTCAAATCCAGGCAGTCTATCTCTGCAGCTCGTGCTGTTAGCCACTAGTGTGTTTGAGAGGTTAAAAACTTCAAAGTCAATGCCTAACCAACCTAGGAGCAGTGAACACCACCAGATGCCTGATGAAGGTCTTGAAATACCATCTCCCATTAAAAAGAGGCAGGTTACTTGGAGAGATGGCTGATTTAAGGTCTGTATCAGGAAATGAACAAGAGAAACCTGAAGCACCTTGTTGTATAGACAACAAAGAAGCTATTAAAGACTAATAGGATCATTCCAAAAGAAAAGGACACTCAAGAGCCAACTGAAAGAGTCTCCCAATGGCTAAAGATGTGACAATTTGAACATCAGTAGGGATAACAACAGCAGTAGATTGAAGTACATCAATTATATTTAAATTTAGGAGTTCATAATGATGCTCAAAAATTGGTCATGTTTAGAGGATGATTGGGAATTGCTTAATCGAAAACTGGTAAATACATTTTTTTCCTGTCATTCCTATGTGAACTGTATACCTGAATAACTAAATAGTACATGAGTTGAAGCTCCTCTTTATAGAAATAATCCAGCTGCTAAATGACAAAGGAATGATAGAATTAGTTTTCCTTTTCTACAACCTCTAAAGTTATGGTGTGATCATAGCTGACTGCAGCCTCAAACTCTTGGCCTCAATCAATCCTCTTTCTTCTTCAGCCTCCCAAAGTGCTGTGGTTACAGGCGTGTGGTTACAGTCACTGTGCCCAGCATTTGTACTTAATTTTTTAAAAACTCTAAAAGAAATTGCATTTATAGGAAAATTGATATTTTGAATGACTCTGATGATGTTAAGGAAATATTGTTAATATTTTAGATATAATAATATGGGTTTTTTAAAGTATTTATTTATTTGAGACAGAGTCTTGCTCTGTCACCCAGGCTAGAGTGCAGTGGCGTGATCTCAGCTCACTGCAACCTTCACCTCCCAGATTCAAGCAATTCTCCTGCCTCAGCCTCCTGAGTAGCTGGGATTACAGGTATCTGCAACCACGCCTGGCTAATTTTTTTGTATTTTTAGTAGAGACAAGGTTTCACCATGTTGGCCAGGCTGGTCTTGAACTCCTGACCTTGTGATTCACCCACCTCAGCCTCCCAAAGTGCTGGGATTACAGGCATGAGCTACCGTACCCGGCCTAAGTCTTTGTTTTTATTGATGAAATTATATGTTCTGGGATTTGCTTCAAAATACTGTGCAGTGGGGTTGGGGGCAGAGATAAACAGAATTAACCCTGAGTTGATAATTATTGGAGTTGGAGGATGGATACATGGAGGCTCATCACTATCCTTTCTACTCTTGTATAGTTTAAAATTACCATAATAAAATGTTTTGTAAAAATAAATGTCAGACGTTTTGGATTGCACAAAGTACATACTGTTTCTAATAAAAATAAGTAATTTGGTCCAAAATACTTTAGATATTAAAATGTGATGAATCTTATTCTACCACCCATGTCTTTAATGTATGTCCTTTCTGTTGAGAGAGAGTGGAAAGAAGAAAGAGAGAGAGACGTGTGTTTATGGCATAGAAAATGCCAGCGAAGTCGGTGGCTACTAATATCACTTGATCTTAGCCAAAAGGCCAAAAAGCAGTGGCTACTAATATCAAGCCAGCTCTTAATGGCCAGGCAATATTACTACATTTCCTTAATCTATTCACTCGCTCACATTCATAAACAACATTTTATCAAATCTCAGATGCCACTGATTATAAATTGCATTGTTATTATAGGTACCAGTAAAAAAACAAAAACAATGCTCTTGATTAAACTATGGAATGCCGTCACTTGTAAGATAGCAATTTTACAGATGTTAAAATATGAAAAAAGTATGTATCAGAATCATCATAATACAGTATTTATCTTTTCTGTCAAGCCTCCAGTACTTTCCCCCATGTTCAGTTTCAGCTATTTCACTGGGGAAACAGAAGCACTCAGAAGACGGCATCCTCTTTCTCCTACCACCAAGTTTGTCCACCTGTTTGCATCTGTACTTAAAAACTTTGCCTTAGGCCGGGCGCGGTGGCTCAAGCTTGTAATCCCAGCACTTTGGGAGGCCGAGGCGGGTGGATCACGAGGTCGAGAGATCGAGACCATCCTGGTCAACATGGTGAAACCCCGTCTCTACTAAAAATGCAAAAAATTAGCTGGGCATGGTGGCACGTGCCTGTAATCCCAGCTACTCAGGAGGCTGAGGCAGGAGAATTGCCTGAACCCAGGAGGCAGAGGTTGCGGTGAGCCGAGATCCTATCATTGCACTCCAGCCTGGGTAACAAGAGCGAAACTCCATCTCAAAAAAAAAAAAAAAAAAAAAAAAAAAACAACTTTGCCTTCCCTTTTATTGCAATGGAGATGAATTATCCATATTCTTACTTAGAATGATCCTTTTTCTCCTCAAGGACTTTCCTCCTGTAACTACTAATCTGTCTATCCTGAATTGTGTATTTTCCCCCTCTACTGGATCTTTTACTTTATTTTATTTATTTGAAACGGAGTCTTGCTCTGTCACCCAGGCTGGAGTGTAGTACTGTGATCTTGGCTTACTGCAACATCTGCCTCCCAGGTTCAAGTGATTCTCCTGCCTCAGCCTCCCAAGTTGCTGGGATTATAGGCACGCGCCACTACGCCCGGCTGATATTTAATATTTTTAGTAGAGATGAGGTTTCACCATGTTGGCCAGGCTGGTTTCCAACTCCTGACCTCAAGTGATCTGCCCACCTCAGCCTCCCAAAGTCCTGGGATTACAGGTGTGAGCCACTGCACCCAGCCTGGCTCCTTTTAATTAGCACATAAACTTACTATAATTTCTTCCATCTTGATTTTATTTTTTGAGACAGAGACTAGCTCTGTTGCCCATGCTGCACTGCAGTGAAGGAATCACAGCTCACTGCACCCTCAACTGTCTGGGCTGAAGCGATCCTCCCACCTCAGCCTCTCAAGTAGTTGGGACTTCAGGCCAGGCAAATTTTTCATTTTTTGTGGAGAAGAGGATCTCACTATGTTGCTTAGGTAGTTTCAGACTCCTGGGCTCAACCAATCCTCCCACCCTGGCCTTCTGAAGTGCTAGGATTACAGACATTAGCCACCACACCCAGCCCCATCTTTAAATTAAAAAAAGAAAAAATTAGAACATGTAGAAAAAGGCAACAACAACGAAAGATTTCTGGATCCAAAATCCCTATCGAATGATAGCCTTATTTTTCTGCTCATCTTAAAAACAAAACTTCTTAAAAGTATTGCCTGTATTTGCTTTCTCCTTTCCCCTCCTATCATCCTTTCTTCCAACTCCTATTAAGTTTTCATCAGACTTTATCAAACTTCCACCACTCCGCCAAAAGGGAGTTTCAACATCACTAGTGACCATGCTACAGTGGTCCATTCTTAGTTCTCATTTCACTTGACTTATGAGCAACATTTGAGACAGTGGGTCACTCCCTTATTCTTGAAACACTTCCTTCCCTTGGTTTTGCAGATCTAAACTTTCCTACTTTTCCATTTACTTCATCTACTTCATGGATGATTCCTTCTCAGTCTTCTTTGTTGGATCCTCTTCACCTACCAAACTTAACCTGGTGCGTTGTTAGAAGAAACCCTACTGAGTAAGAGCAAATTATTCTTTTAGCATACTTCTTTTACTTCCCAATATTTAAACATTTTGTTTATCCTTTTAAATGAAAATGATTTGAAAAACGCAGCTCTCAAGCTAGCGATAGAGATACCAAACCAGGAATCCCCGCACCACCCCCAACAGACAGCAGCGTCTGATCCCTTCCGGAAACGAGCTCCACTGGCCTTATGGGAAATGTGGTCTCCTACGGATAGTCTACACCCGGGAGGAGCCTAGGAACTCTAAGTGGACAGTTACTTCCGCACACGCGCAGAAGGGTGGTAAGCGTTATTCTATCTTCAATTCGGCTCTGCGAGAAGTGCTGGCGGGGGCTGCTTCCCCAGTCTGTGGACGATGCTGTGACTAATCCCAGGCTTGGAGCCGGAGCTGCGAGCGAGGCAGTGAAAGGGTGGCAGGTATGGCTTTGCTGGACTCGAAGGACGTAAGAGAAAGGCGGGGACTGGCTTCTGTCTACCCTACCGAAGATAAAACTTTACAGTCTCCAAGTGCGGTGACTTCAGGTTTGGATATGTGGGTCCCGTTCAACTCGAGTAGCTGAGAGAAAGCAAGAGTTGGGCTCCAACTGGCACTGGGTAGATGCATTCCTGCTCTTGTAGGTCAAGGTCACTGTGTAGGAGTCTGTTCATCTAACTGTACCTTTCCCGGTTCCAAGAGCATAGTTGGCCCGACCTGAGCAATTTTAAGCCATTTCAAGGGATCCAGTGGAAACTGTGAGCCATTTCAAGGGATCCAGGAAGAAAGCATTCTTGAGAAACTGCTGTGCATTCAAAGGGTATTCTCAGCAATCATTTGAAGTAAATGTTATCATCATTTTGCTTATGAATTAACTGAAAGGTGAAATTACTTGCCTGGACTGACGGCTTAGTAAGTGGGAGAACTGAGATTCAAACTCAGATACGTTTTCTCCAAATTTCATTCTTTGTTTACAGTATAGCATTCCAGCATAAAACAGAGTTGGGTTTATTCTCCTGAAATATGTGAGCAATGAATGCTGAGTAAATTTCGATTTGTGGTCATTTTGTAGAGTCACTTGGTGTATCTGCAGATCTTCCAGTGCACACTGTGTGAATGAAGATGTGAGTCCCCAGTTTGCCCATTTTACCCCTTCTAGAGCCCCAGCAGTCCAAGCTCATAGGAGATGGCGAGTTCCTAGAGAGAGAAACATTTGGAGTTTAAACAGAAGGATGCAGCTAAAAAAAAAAAAGTATTCCTGGGTCCCTGACTCCAGCCTTCTCAAGAAAGCCCGACCTAATTTGCAATCTCTTATCCCAGCTTCAGAGCAGAAACCAGAGAGTCACAGAAAGGAATCATTTCTAGACTTATGGAACTTCAGAGACCAAGCTTTTAAGTTAGTCTTTCCATTCATTTCATTATTTATTCAGGATAAATTTCTGGGAGAAAAAAATAACTGTTTCAAGAGGAACAACTTGGTGTTAGATCAGTAGGACAGAAACATAACATCCTTATCTAAACTCCATATATTCCTAACAATCACAAGTAGAGATCTGTGCTTATGGTACACGGACTTTTCTTACTTGCAAGAAATGTCATTTCCCCCCACTAGGTGGCACTTTCTGAGGCTGCAGTGTGGGTACTTACGGTCTTATAGAGCAGGGTTCTACTTTGCATGCAGTCCTGGTATCTCAGGTCTTTCTGTTCTCTTTCCCATTTCTGCTTTCATAGATTTCTGTCTAAGAGCTGCAGAAAATGATCAACTTCGAGGTAAGGCATCCATCTATTCATCCAGTTGTTTAAATCTCCCAAAAGTCCATATGATCAAAAGGAAATGTTTGGTCAGGAAGAATGTAAACCAAATAAAAGATCAAGTCTAAAAGGAAATATAGAAGATTGCTAAGTTGATATCCAAGTCATAGAGTTTGCAGATAGTTGGAACAAATTTGAGCTGCAAATGTGTACTCAGTCTTCCTGGAAATTGTAGTAAATGGATAACCAGCCAGTTAAAAAGTATTGGCATTGTCCATGAAGATAAAGCAAAATTATTCTTCTTATAAGTAAAGCTTTTCCTGACATGTTTCTTTGAAGAAAATCTTTTCTAGTGAGTTTTCACATAGATAACATTAGAAATAACATTCACAGCAGCAGCCTGTGATAAATATAGCATCAGGTTCCTGTTACTTTTTTAGAGTATTCTCTAGAGTAAGAACATAGTGCCAGCAGCACTAAATGAATTCAATTTATTAGTGTAGGCATATAGCCTTTTTAATGCCCACCTGGATCCATAAGTAAATCTTACACCTTTTCCATTCTGTAGCTATCTTGAGCATTTACTCTTCTACATGAATTTTAAGGTCATTGAAATAACAAATATTGTCAAGGTCCCTAAATCAGTATGTTAGGTATTCTTTTTTTCTGAGACAGAGTCTTGTTTTGTTGCCCAGGCTGGGGCATAATGACATGATCTCAGCTCACTGCAGCCTCCACCACCCAGGTTCAGGTGATTTTCCTGCCTCAGCCTCCCATGTAGCTTGAATTACAGGCATTCACCACCATACCCAGCTAATTTTTGTGTTTTTAGTAGAGATGGGGTTTCACCTTGTTGACCAGGCTGGTCTTGAACTCCTGACTTCAAGTTATCCGCCTGCCTCAGCTTCCCAAAGTGCTGGTAGGATTACAGGTGTAAGCCTGTAAGCCGAACTCAGCCAGATATTTTTATTACGTTTGCATTAAACTTAATAGGTTAATTTGAGAGAATTGAATTCATGACTTTTCAATTAGTCTGATTTATTCAGGTTTTCTTTTAGGTCTTTTATTACAATTTTTTTTTTCTTTTTTGAGACAGAGTTTCACTCTGTTGCCCAGGCTGTAGTGAAGTGGCATGATCTCAGCTCACTGCAACCTCTGTCTCCAGAGTTCAAGTGATTCTGCTTCAGCCTCCTGAGTAGCTGGGATTATAGGTGTGTGCCCACCACCATGCCCAGCTAATTTTTATATTTTTAGTAGAGACAGGGTTTCACCATGTTGGCCTGGCTGGTCTCAAATTCCTGACCTCAGGCGATTCACCCACCTCACCCTCCCAAAGTGCTAGAATTACAGGTGTGAGCCACTGTGCCTGGCCCTTGTATTATAATTTTATAGGTTTTATAGGTTTCTTATTGTAATTCTTGCACATTTCTTATATTTATTCTTACATATGGTTTTAGTCGCTATTGAGAATGGGGTAGGCCTTTTTTTCCATTATCTTTTCTAATTGGCTGTTTTGGTAAATAGAAAAATATGGTCTTCTCTTGGCTGGGCATGGTGGCTCATGCCTATATTCCTAGTACTTTGGGAGGCTAAGGTGGGAGGATTGCTTGAGGCCAGGAGTTCAAGACCAGCCTGGGCAATATAGTAAGACCCCATCTCTGAAAAAATAAAAAGTTTAATTAGCAGGGCATGATGGCTCACACCTATAGTTCCAGGTGTTAGATGCACTCTTAATGAAGAGACCCTCTAAACAGACTTTGTGTGAGCAATATGGCTATTTATTCACCTGGGTGTGGGCAGGGTGAGTCCAAAAAGAGAGTCAGCAGAGGGCATTGGGATAGGAGTTGGTTTTATAGGTTTGGGGTAGGCAGTAGAACGTTACAGAAGTTACAGTTCAGGGTGGTTTTTGCAAGCTGGGAGGGGGTCGTAGGGTCTGGAGTCACAAGGTTGACCTATCAGTTGAGCAAGGTTGGTTACAAAGTCCAGTTGCCTTATCAGTTGAGGCGGGAATAGGAACAAGAGAAAAATATCTCAGAGTTAATTAGGCATTGCAGGGGTTGGTCATTTTTCTCCTTTTGTAGTTTTCCAGTTACTTCTGACTTTCTATTTCCAGGAACTCATCTGAAGGTGTACGTGCAGGTCATAGAGGTTACCATGCAGTCCATGGCGCAGTCAGTCAGCCTAAAAGGGAGCAGCTATTAGGGAAGCTGGGGCAGGAAGATCCATTGAGCCTAGAAGTTTAAGGCCACAGCTAGCTATGATCACACCACTGCACTGTAGCATGGGTGATGAGCAACACCCTGTCCCTGAAGAAAAGGTGGATTTCTCTATGTTGAATTTATATCCAGCCAATGTACAGAACTCTTTTTAGATCTAAGAGTTCTTTAGTTGATTCTTCTATTTCTTAGGTGGACAATCATATACATTACAAATGGAGTTTTATCTCTTCCTGCCCAATATTTATACCTTCCCCCATATTTTCCTTATCTCATTGCAATGGCCAGGACTTCTAATCACTGTAATTTTGAATAAACAGCCATCCCCTGGTATCCATGGGAGACTGGTTCCAGAACTCCTGCAGATCCCCAAATCTGAACATACTGAAGTCCCACAGTACAGTTGGCCCTGTGGAACTCAAAGATAGGAAAAGTTGGCCATCCATATTCGTGGGTTTTGCATTGCAAGAGTATTGTATTTTTGTGCATTTGGTTGTAGATTCAGAACCTGTCAACTGAGGGCCGACTACATTCATTGCAAAAAATCTGAGTATAAGTGGACCCCGGCAGTTCAAACCTGTGTTGTTCAGGGGTTAACTGTAATTGCTAACCAGAATTCTTTTTGTCCTAATTTTAATGGGAGTGCTTCTAGTGTATGTATGGTGAAACCCCATCTCTACTAAAAGTACAAAAAAATTAGCCAGTTGTGGTGGTGCATGCCTGTAGCCCTAGCTACTCAGGAGGCTGAGGCATGAGAATCAGTTGAAACTGAGAGACAGAGGCTGCAGTGAGCCAAAATTGCACCACTGCACTCCTGTCTGAGCAACAGAGCAAGACTTCGTCTCAAAAAAAAAAAAAAAAAAATGTATCAATTGTATACAATTCAGTGATTTTTTTAGTGTATTCACAGAGTTGTACAGTCATCACCACTATCGAATTTCAGAACATTTTCATCACCCCAAAAGCAACTCCATATCCTAATTAGCAGTCACTTTTCATTCCTCCTGTTCCCTGGCCCTAATCTACTTTCTGTTTCTATGGCTTTTCTCTTCTGAACATTTCATACAAATGGAACCATGCAATATGTAATCTTTCGTGACTGGCTTCTTTCACCCAATATGATAGTTTCCTCATTTTCTTATTGATTGATTGATTGATTGATTGAGGCAGGATCTCACTCTATTGCAGCCTCAACCTCCCAGCCTCAAACAGTTCTCCCACCTCAGCCTCCCAAGTAGCTGGAACTACAGGTGCATGCCATCACACCCAGCTAATTTTTAAAAATTTTTGTAGAGAGTGTGTCTTACAGTGTTGCCCAGGCTGGTCTCAAACTCCTGGGCTCAAGTGATCTGCCCACCTCAGCCTTCCAAAGTGCTGGGATTGCAGGTGGGAGCCATAGCACCTGGCCCTATACAGTATTTTCAAGGTTCATCCATGTTGTAGATGTACCATTGCTTGGTTCCTTTCTTATTGCCAAATAATATTCCATCATCGGCCGGGCGTGGTGGCTCAAGCCTGTAATCCCAGCACTTTGGGAGGCCGAGGCAGGTGGATCACGAGGTCCAGAGATCAAGACCATCCTGGTCAACATGGTGAAACCCCGTCTCTACTAAAAATACAAAAAATTAGCTAGGCATGGTGGCGCGTGCCTGTAATCCCAGCTACTCAGGAGGCTGAGGCAGGAGAATTGCCTGAACCCAGGAGGCAGAGGTTGCAGTGAGCCAATATCGTGCCATTGCACTCCAGCCTGGGTAACAAGAGCAGAACTCCATCTCAAATAATAATAATAATAATAATAATAATAATATTCCATCATATGGACATAGGTATGCCACATTTTCTTTATCCATTTGTCAGTTCATGGACACCAGATTATTTCACTTTTTTGGCTATGAATAACTATAATGAACATTTGTCTATTTGAGAATTCAAATGTCTTGAATTCTCTTGGGTGTATACTAGGAGGGGATTGCTAGGTTGTACGGTTACTCTTTGTTTAACATTCGGAGGAGGCTGGGTGCAGTGGCTCAAGCCTATAATTCCAGCACTTTGGGAGGCCAAGGCAGGCGGATCACCTGAGGTTAGGAGTTCAAGAGCAGCCTGGCCAATGTGGTGAAAACCTGTTTCTACTAAAAATACAAAAATTGGTGGTGAGTGCCTATAATCCCAGTTACTCAGGCAGCTGAGGTAGGAGAATCGCTTGAACCTGGGAGGCAGAGGTTGCAGTGAGCTGAGATCGTGCCACTGCCCTCCAGCCTGGGTGACAGAGTGATACTCCATCTCAAAAAAACAAAAACAAACAAAACCAGAAAATACTCAGAGGAACTACCAAACTGTTTTCCATAGTTACTATGTAGGCTGGGTATGGTGGCTCATGCCTGTAAACTTAGCACTTTGGCTGAGGCAGGAGGATCACTTGAGTCCAGGAGTACAAGACCAGTCTGGGCAATGTAGTGAGACACCATTTCTACAAAACAGAAAAGATTTTTTAATTGCCTGGGTGTGGTGGCACGTGCCTGTAGTTCCAGCTACTTGGGAGGCTGAGGCGGGGGGCTGAGGCAGGAAGATCGCTTGAGTCCAGGAGTTGGGTGCTAGCATGAGCCCCGATTGTACCACACTCCACTCCACTCCAGCCTGGGACCCTATATCAAATAAAAGAAAAGAAAAAACATAGTTGCACCATTTTGTAATCCCAATGTACAAGAGTTGAGTAATGTACAAGAGTTTCAGTTTCTCCACATCCTTGCCAACACAGGTCATCGTCTGCCTTTGATTTTAACCGTCTTCATAGAAGTGAAGTGCTGTCTCATTATGGTTTTGATTTGCATTTCACTAATGACTAATCATTAATGATGTTGAGCATCTTTTTTCTCTTTTTAAATTTTTTTTTCTTGCTTGCTTGGGTTTCAGACCCTGATGTTGAGCATCTTTTCATGGGCTTATTTACTATACACACACCAACACATGCACATACAACCACATATGCATATCTTTGGAGAAATGTGTGTTTAAATACTTTACCCATTTTAAAATTGTGTTGTCTTTTTATTGTTGATTTTTTTCTCCCCTCCCCCATTGCTGAATTTTAAGTTATTTATATATTCTAGATACAAGCCTCTTATCAGATACATGATTTGCAAATATTTTCTTTCATTCTGTGGGGTTTCTTTTCATATTCTTGGCAGTGTCCTATGTAGCACAGAAGTTTTTAATTTTGATGAATTCCTATTTTTATTTTGTCACTTCCACTTTTTCTGTCATATTTCACAAACCACTGCCTAATCCAAGGTCACAACTTTTTTTTCTGTTTTCTTCTAATTGTTAGATAGTTTTGTTTCTGACTTTTAGCTCTCTGATCCATTTTATTTCAGTTTTTTATATGACGTAAGATGGGGGGAGTCCAGTGTCATACTTTTGCATGTGGATGTCTAGTGGTCTCAGTACCATTTGTTGAAAAGACTTTTCACTGTTGAACTGTTCTGGCAATAGTTGGTTATGTTTAATATGACTTTTGTTACTATCACAAAGTATATTTCTGAATCAAGCATGTAATCATTATATATAATTTTCTGCAAACTCAACAATGAACATGATATGAAATTAAGGGGCTGCCTTCGTTCTCTTGCAAGTTCTCTAATGATGCACACTTTAGTGTGAAGATGAATGTGCTGTTACAGGAATCAGTGACATTCCAGGATGTGGCTGTGGATTTCACCCCAGAGGAGTGGCAGCTGCTTGATTGTGCTGAGAGAACCCTGTATTGGGATGTGATGTTGGAGAACTATAGAAACCTCATCTCAGTGGGTAAGGACGATGAGTGGTAACTTTTCACTGTAACTCAAAATATATAAATGTGCCCTTCTTCTAAGACTTCTGAAAGCTGGCCAAGATCCCAGCACTTTGGGAAGCAGAAGAATTGCTTGAGCCCAGGATTTCCAGACCAGCCTGGGCAACATTGTGAGACCCTGTCTTAACAAAATTTAGCCAGGTGTGGTGGCACTGCCTATTATTTCAGCTACTTGAGAGGCTAAGGTGGAAGGATCGCTTGAGCCCAAGCATACCACTGCATTCCAGCCTGGGTGACAGAGTGAGACCCTATCTCAAAAAAAAAAAGAAAGAAAGAAAAGAAAACTTATGACAGCTGTGAGCATTCTGAAGCATTAATCAGCTTGGCCCTAAATTGTAGTTGTCAAAGATTCTGAATTGAGGTTCAGATAGTCTGCTTATGCTTCTACTTCCCAAATGGAAGGGAAGGGTCTGTTCTGTTTTAAAGCCTGCTTGTTGTCCTTTAAAAACCCTGAGACTCAAGGAGGCAACCCAAGTTGTGAGCTGGTTGTTTGCCTAGCACCTTGGCCCCACTTCTATGTTGTTTTCCTACTAACAAGATGTCTAGTTACCAAAACAAAAGTGACCCTCAAGGTAGAGCAAGGACAAGAGCCATGGATGGTGGAGGGAGTGAACCCACACCAGAGCTCTCCAGGTGAGTGAGAGAAACTCAGATGGGTATGTGTGGAGCTGAGATCCGAGTTGGTCAGTGAGGGACAGGCACCTCTGAAATACTCTTAGAAGCACCTCTTAAAAGCCACAAACCTTTGGCATAACATCATCAGCTAGTTCCCCAAAATCTGCCTTCTCCCTCACTGTCCCCACACATGCTCTTTCTCTTTGCTCAGCTGCGCTGTGGAAGGTCGTCCCTTTGCTGTCTCCCCTGGCTTCTCGTGCTGCCTGTTTCATCTAGGTCCTTGCTTTGTTTCTGTTCTCTTAATTCCTAAAACCGTCATTCTTCTTCCTTTCTCAACATAGATCTTTTTCTATATGCTTAGTCCTTACAATGAAGTTAAATTATGTGAATTTGAAGTTTTACTCTACCAATCACTGTCTAACCTTAAGCAGATTATTTTGTAGCACAGTTTCCTTTGTTTATAAAATAGGAATATTAATCCTTACCTCAGGTTTCCTATAAAAATTATATGAGGTAATATATGCAAAACACTTCAAATAGTTGGCAGATAGTAAATATTCAGTATATGCTCATTGTTTTTTTCAAAACTTTTAGGGACATCTTGCTCTATTTTGTTTTCCCTTTTTTTTTTTTAACTTACTCCTTTTCTTGCATCATAAACCCCATCGTGCATGTTTAGTCTCCCTGATAATTTGGGATGTATGTCTTGTAGTGCATCATTCTGTTTCACTTGCTAATATTGATAACTTTTTGAAATTCCCCTCCAGCTTTTTGTGGCCTTACTAATCTGTCCTCACCATTTCTTACTGCTTATTCACCTTTTGCTCAGGTCTTCTCTTCCATCTTCTTGACTTCTCTCTGCAGTAACTCCCTCAGAAGCCTCATCACTCTGAAGACTAAAGTTATTTGTTTTATGCCAACTCTAGCATCTTTGCCTCACCAACTTTTCATTCTCCTAACTTTACCTGACCTGGCCTTCATGGTAACTAATGTTTTTAATTATTCAATTGACACCCTTATCTTTACATCACGACAAATAATGATGAATGGGTCCCTGCTTTGCAGTCTCAGAATCACTACAGTAAACAATTTGATTTTTTTCCCCTCAATAGTTTTATTTAGTTTATTTCCTCTCAAAGTAAAATTAAATTTTCCCTTTCTGCAGAGTTAATAAAAGAACTCATTCAAATGGTTGACATATCTTTCAAATGACTGACACCAATTAAATATATTTCAGATTCCCTGGATCCCAACTTCTGTTGACATAGACAAAATGAATTTTTTTTTTAGAGACAGGGTCTTACTCCATCACCCAGGCTGGAGTGCAGTGACGCCATCTTAGCTCACTGCATCCTTGAACTCCTTGCCTCAAGCAATTCTCCTGCCTCAGTCTCCCAAGCAGCTGGGACCACAGGCACACGCCACAGTCCTCAGCTGAATTTTAATTACTGATACTGCATCTAGACTGTTCATGTTGCTATTTTACCAATTCCATTCCATTTTCTAGTTTATATTAGATGTTTCTCCAAGATTCATCCAAATTATTCTGTTCCTCTTGTCACTCTCCTGAAAAATGTATATTAATCCCTTAGAACCTGTGTTGTGATATTTAAATGGCTTTTAATGTCCTCTATAACATAGTCCCATTTTACTTATCGAGAATTATCCATCTTTTCCCTATTCCATGGAAATTGGGCTTTTTAATGTCCACTATATACAGTTTTCTTCTCTGCATCAATCCTTTTGATTCTGGTCTGCTCCACCTAACTAAAACCAGCATTTTACTAAATCTGAGTTTAGCTTTTCCTTTCTCATTATAATTCCAGTCTAATCTTTACCTTCTTTGAACTCCCAAGCCAACTCTACTATCACTCTGTCATAAAAAATTGATGTATACTGTCTTGGATATATTTTTCTAATCCTTGTGGCTTTTAAGGCATGTTTTTTAAAGGATAGTTCCTGAAGAGAATGATCTGGTTTGTTTTTGTTTTGTTTTTTCTGAGATGGAGTCTCACTCTGTCACCCAGGCTGGAGTGCAGGAGCCCAGTCTCGGCTCACTGCAACCTCCACCTCCCAGGTTCAAGTGATTCTCCTGCCTCAGGCTCCTGAGTAGCTGGATGCCTGCCACTATACCCGGCTAATTTTTGTACTTTTAGTAGAGACAGGGTTTCACCATGTTGGCCAGGCTGGTCTCCAAACTCCTGACCTCAGGTGATCTGCCCGCCTCAGCCTCCCAAAGTGCTGGGATTACAGGCATGAGCCACCGTGCCTGGCTGAGAATGATCTGTTTTATGCTGAGGCTGAGCACATAATGGTATTCAATGAACATTTCGTTAATTTATTGTTATAGAGCCAGACATTATGGGGGATGTTTCTTTTCTTCTTCTTTTTTTTTTTTCTTTTTTTTGTATCCCTGTCATAGCAATGTGGGGGATGTTTTTTATTCTTCCATTAAACAAGGCTTTTTAAAATGTTTCCTGAAAAGGTTCAAAGAAAGCAAAAATCTCATTACCATTTTCTAAGTGGATGAATGGTAGTTGGAACAGCAAAACATGTTTATATTAAAATATTTTCCCTGGTGGTCTAGTGGTTAGGAAAACAATATATAAACAAAAAATAAAGTATTTTAAAATTCAACAAGTGAGTATGAAACATTTCTTCAATGTACATTAACGTTGCAGTTGTGTTCTAATTAATTGTCAAAATGAATGGTAGACAGCAGCAGTGACTGTCTTAGAAATTAATAGAAAATGGAGCTTGAAGTTTAAAGTATGCAAAATTTGGAGAAGTCTTTTTTTGAGATTGTGGAACAGTGGTTCCTCCCTAAAGAATATCTGAGTTTTAGGTAAAATGACAGGAGATAAGGGAGGGCAAATTAAGGTAGAGAACGAACATGAGCAAAAGATTGAAGTTAGGAGTCTAGAATCCATGGAGTAGAAGGTATTTGCTGAGGACTACTGGAACCCATGCTTTCCATGAGTGAATTCATGTCTCGCATAATTCTATTTCCAGGCTGATTATGTTGAATTTTTCAGTGGATTATTGTTGATAGAGGTAACGCAGGATGCTGCTTACCATCAGTTGAAATAGGAGTGGTAAGAAAGGAACCAAATCCCTAGAGTCAGAAACACTCTATAAAGCAATGTGTACTGATGGCTGTAGCCCACTACTCAGTCTAGCTCTGCAGAGAATAAGGCATAGAGGAGGAGGCTCAGAGTATTGTACTAATACTCCCCATGCAGGGAAACTTAAGAGTGGGGAATTACGACCCTCTCTCCCCAATTTTTTTTAAATGGGAACAGATTTGGGATTTATAGTGTTTTGGGGATAGTGAAAAAAATGTAAATTCAGGAGCGAAGCAGCTTTCTGAAGACCAGTTTGTTAGATTGAAAGAGGATGTAAAAACAGTATTTGCCAAATAGAGGTATAACAGATAGTTGTCATATACAAAAACTCAGCCAGAATAAAAAATAGCAAATAGACAGAATCTATTTGCTATTACTATCCCAAGCTAAGGATGACTTACCCTTGGATAACTTGCTGGACATTTATGTCCCTGGGCTTACAAGTACAGGTACAAATGAATTTAGCTCTCATTAGAGCTGGAGCCATGACTGCAGATGTGGTTTAGTTGGAGTTAGAGGACTGGAGATACGAGAATGTTTAGAAAGGAAACTGATATTGTGCAGAGTGATTAAGAGGAAAAGACAAGTGAGAGAAATGGGAAATTATTCTACCAAGGTGATCTAGAAATTAATTATGTAGTGATTTATATAACTGCCTGTTACCACCTCCTCCAAACCTAGTCTGTACTCTGATACTTTCCCTTAACCCCTTTATCTCCTGTTTTCCTAGTTGTCCTATCCATTAATCAGATCTCCACAATGGGCCCTCTTCGTTTTATGAGCTAACCCTGCACCCTTGTTGAGCACCCTTTTGACTTCTTTGTACCCTCACTCTACCTTGCACCTATTTTACTGTCTTTCCACAGGTCACAGGCTAAGGCATCTGCTCCTATTCGCTCTTCAGCAGTTTTATCCTTAAAGCTCAGGAGGAGTGAGGCAAATATAAGATTTGTTTCAGAATGAGATACTAGCTTTGAAACTATAGACGGTTTTCTCTATAACATGTTGGTGGGAAAAAGTAACTAGGAATGTTTTGTTGTACTCCTTTTTAGAATCTGACTGCCCTCTTGATGAACGAGGGAAGCGTTGGGAAAGCAAAGACAATTTTTTGAAGTCAGTTTTACTCACGTTCAATAAACTTTTGACTATGGAGAGAATCCACCATTATAATATGAGCACAAGTTTTAATCCAATGGAAAAAAAATCATATAAATCATATGAGAAGCATTTGCCACCTAATTTAGACTTACTTAATTATAATAGAAGTTATATTGGAGAAAACACTTATGAATGCAGGGAATGCGGGAAAGCCTTCAAAAAGAAGTTTCATTTCATTAGACATGAAAAAAATCATACAAGGAAAAAACCTTTTGAATGCAATGACTGTGGGAAAGCCTATAGTAGGAAGGCACATCTTGCAACTCATCAGAAAATTCATAATGGAGAGAGACCCTTTGTGTGCGATGATTGTGGGAAGGCATTTACGAATAAAGCCCAACTCGTGGTCCACCACAGACTTCACACTGGAGAGAAGCCTTATGAATGCAATCAATGTGGGAAAACATTCACTTGGAACTCCTCATTTAATCAACATGTGAAATCTCACACACTTGAGAACTCATTTGAATGTAAGGAATGTGGGAAAACCTTCAGGTATAGTTCATCCCTTTACAAACATTCCAGATTTCATACAGGAGAGAAACCCTACCAATGTATCATATGTGGCAAAGCATTTGGCAACACATCTGTGCTTGTTACACATCAAAGAATTCATACAGGAGAGAAACCTTATGGATGTATTGAATGTGGCAAAGCCTTCATCAAGAAGTCTCATCTCCTCAGACATCAGATAACTCATACAGGAGAGAAGCCCTATGAATGTAACAGATGTGGGAAAGCATTTTCCCAGAAGTCAAATCTTATCGTACATCAGAAAATTCATACATAATATTCACTTTATGAACATGAGAAGACCTTATGAAATATTTGCTAAATCTTACTAAATACTAAAGAATTCATGGTAAGGAGACATCTACAATTTAAATGAATTTGTAAGAGTAGATTCCCTTAAAAAACAATGCCAATCATGTTCTGGAAGTGATAAACTTTACAGAAAATATTACAGAAAACAACTATAAATAATAGAGCTTAAAGCTTGGAAAGTAAGCATAACTTAAATAATCAAAGAACCAGTGAAAACTGCATTTACCATTCCTGACTTTTACTTTTTATAATAAAATAATTATGCAAGTGAGTATAAAATATATGCTTATACGTTATATTAAATTATGCCTATTAAGAGTTTCTGCAGTAAATAACACATTTTCCTTCCAGTGTTAACATGCATAATTAATCAAGTAAGAAAATGTGGTTTAATATGTAGTATGAATTTCAGTAATATTTTCATCCATTTGCTGGCACTTTTAATGGGCATGACAATGTTACTGAATCTGAGTCTCCTTTAATTGCACAACTGAAGACTTCTTATTAAAATTCATAAAGATATGTTCCTGTGTATGTAAACACCAGAACAAAAATTTTAACAAGATACTAATTGAAGAGAGAAAGGCACTTGTATTCTGTATTACAATAAGTATTCAGTTGAGGAAAAGGATTATTTAAATATGTAAATAAATAATTTGCACTTCAAATATTTGTTCTTTTTCATTGATATATCTACATAAGCTGTAAGCATAGCTTAAGTGGTATTTAACTGGAGTATCATCTGTATTTGATTTTAATAAAGTAGAGTGTCATGATACTTTGCAACTTTTGGGGAGACAGTTTTGGGGATTTTGTTGTTTTATAGAGACAAGGTCTCATTCTGTCCCTGAGGCTTTATCGCTGTGGCATAATCATAGCTAACTGTAAACATGAACTCCTGGGTTTAAGCATTTCTCCTGCCTTGGCCTCTTAAGTAACTAAGACTACAAATGCAAGCCACCACACCTGACTAATTTTTTATTTTTTTGTAGCGATGGCATCTCACTATGTTGCCCAGGTTGGTCTTGAACTCCTGGACTCAAGCAATCCTCCTGGCTCTCATTCTCCCTTTCTGCCTCCCAAAGTGCTGGCATTACAGGATTTTTTTTTTTTTAAAGAAGTCAATACGCATTTAGCTCCGAAGGTACCTGGAATTTTCCATATGAACAGCATAGGCATCATTAATCAAGATGAAAACTTGTTAGAAAAGAGCAAGTTTTTCTGCTTAGCAACTTTGGAATGTGACATTTTCTAAGTTCTACATTTTCCCTTCAAAGGATTAATTAGCCATTATTTAAAGTTTTCTTGCTATTCACAATATCCCTTGGTAATGCCAAAAAACTTTTATGTCTTTTCTTGAGTGGTGACAAAACTTAGTCTTGAACCTAAATTCAGAAATCAAGCCTTCTAAGTTTAAACTCAGTTAAAATTATATTCCATTGTTTTTCTTTCATTAGCCATTTTTTGAAAGAGTAGTGTTGGATAATAACTATAAATGAATGATAGTGCCTTTTTGAATAAGCATACTGGGACTTTAAAGACCTAAATTAAATCTTGTCTTTCTAAGTTATTTTAGGAGGTTGTATGCTAATTTCACTTATGAGGTCATTCCAAAATTTCTGGAACCTTCTTTTCATGGAGTTGTCTTCAAAATCAGTATACCAGCCACAGAGGAAAATCTTGGTATTTATAGTCACAGGACATGCCTTTTTCAGCTCAGGAGTTTTCTTATCATTTCCTACATGAAGTCCTCACTTCATCCTATGTAGTGCTTACCATTTCCATTGTATCTCTCCTTCCCCTGGCTGTAACCCTCATCTGAGAAACTTTCCAAACTAAACAAATAAAGAAAGAGAGATGGGGGCACGGATCTCCACTGTTGCTGCATGGTATGAGATGCCCCTGAGAGAGCAACTGTGTAGGTCAAGGTGACAAGAAGTGTGCAATAGTCTGCTCCAGCTCACTGGAAATAAAATGTAGCCAGGACATTTAAATTGTAATATATCAGGATAATATGTATCTGGTTTCATAATTTTGTTTGCCCCCTTTCTTAGGTGGAAAAAGATGTAGAATGAAAATATTTCAAGTACTGTACAAATATAGCCTCCCACCCAGAGACTTCCTGTCAGTGCCCATTCTTAGACTGCAAGATTTTGGCAAAAAGAAAAAACAGTATGCCCAGTTCCATCCAGACATCTTGGATTCCCAGAACTCTCTAGCCCAGTGGTCTCCAACCTTTTTGGCATTTCATCATTAGGCATTAGATTATCATAAGGAGCACACAACCTAGATCCCACACGTGTGCCTTTCACAATAGGGTTCAAGCTCCTATGAGAATCTGATGCCGCTGCTGCTCTGACAGGAGGCAGAGCTCAGGTAGTAATGCTCAGCTTGCCCTTGGCTCCCTCCTGCTGTGCCACCCAGTTCCTAAAAGGCCGCAGACCCATATGGGTCCGTGGTCTGAGGTGGGGGGTGGGGAGAGGGGTGGTTGGGAACGGCTGCCCTAGCCTGTTTGTACACTGTAACTGAAACAGCCATGCACTGAGAAATCCCTTGATTTTTCCCATCTCTAAGAGTATGTTATACCTTGAGATTTTTTTTTACCCTGTGAAAAGATCATTCAAAAATGCCTACTATTGTTGTCTGGAGTCACAGAGTGAAAAAAAAAAAGCTTCCTTTCTTATTTATTTATACATAAATGGTAGACTGACATTTTCCCCCAATGTAACTGTTCATTTTTCTGATTTATATCACATGCAATTTTTTAAAGAATAAATACAAAAATTATAATGAAAAAACTGGAAAGGAGAGGTCTGAGTTTTGGAGTCCTTGTGTTCTGGGAAAGGATAGAGATAAAATTTCAGATTTATAAGTAAAGATGTAAAGCAATGTAAAGGTAACTAGAAAAGCATAGTAATAGAATGTGTGGCTTATAAATCTGAAAAAGGGAATAATGAAAACCCAACAGAGAGCAGGAAAGGTGAAAGTTGTGAGAAAAAGATATTTTCTCATGTGCCTCGTGAGAAAGTATTTACTTTCTCAAATAATAAAAGCATAAATAAGAGTATACCAATAATAGTATTAACTGAAAATGAGTTAAACTCAACTATGATAAGGAATAAACAATTGTCTATTATAATTGTTCAGACACACTTTAATCTCTTAATAATTTTCTTTGCAAACAAACTGTCTTATTTCAAATGAGTTAGAGCAGATTACAGGACATTTCTTATTACCAGCCTGACCTACAAAGCAGCTCTTGCAAGTGGACTTCACACTGCACTGGCAATACTGGAGCCTTCTCCACCCTTCTGAAGTCTGTTTTCTTCCTTTTGTCTTAAGTACAGTTTGGAGTTTCTCAGATGAGGGATGGGGTAGGGGAGAGGAACTGCAATACCAGTATTGTATATTTTTTGTACTGTGTTCCAAAGTTATTTAAATTTTCTTTTTTGGCATATTTGTTATTTAATATATAGTTAGGCTTCTTTTTGTATTCAGCATAGATGTTTGATTTTTTTTCTTTTTCATTTACTTTTTTTTTTAACTTTGAATTTTAGAAAATTTCTAACATACACAAAGGTAATAAAACTAGTACAATGAATTCCCTCCATGTAGTTATCACCTACTTAATCAACAATTGAAGGCCAATCCTATTGGTCACATCATTTCATTCATAATACTTCAGTAGCTCTCTCTAAAAGTTAAGGATTATAAATATCCAATCACTGTTTGAATTCCTCTAATTTATTTTTTTTTCTAATGTATTCCATTTTTAAAGACTTTTTAAAAGCAATTTTAGGATCATAGTAAAATTGAGGGAATTTGTTACAATTGATGAACCCACATTGGACACATCATCACCCAAAGTTCACAGCTTACATTAGAGTTCACTCTTCATGTACATTCTGTGGGTTTAGACAAATATATAATGACATGTACCTACCATTATAGTATCGTATAGTCTAGTTTTACTGCCTTAAAAATCCTCTGTGTTCTACCTATTTATTTTTCCTTCCCTGATAAGCCCAGGTTTTTGTGTAGACATAAGTTTTCATTCAGTTCCTTTGGGTAAATACCATGGAGTATGATTTCTGGATCATATGGCAAGAGTATGTTTAGTTTTATGAGACTGCCAAACTGTCTTCCAGAGTGACTCTACCATCTTGCTTTCCCACCAGTGAAGAGTGAGAGTTCCATTGCTCCACATCCTCACCAGTGTTTGGTGTTGTCAGTGTTACAGATTTTAGCCATCTAACTTATTTTTAAGCATTTTTGAGGTTCAAAAGTCAAAATATCGGTGGGGCAAGGTGGCTCATTCCTGTAATCCCAGCACTTTGGGAGGCCTAGGTGGGCGGATCGCCTGAGGTCAGGAGTTTGAGACCAGACTGGCCAACATGATGAAACCCCATCTCTACTGAAAATATAAAAATTAGCTGAGCATGTTAGCAGGTGCCTGGTAGCGGATAGCCATTGCAATCCCGCCTGGGTGACAGAGTGAGACTGTCTCAAAAAAATAAAACAAAAAGTACAAATATCTCCTCCATCTCATTACTATCTACTCTATAGATGGCAATTTCATTCACTAATGGTTAATTCTAGGTTCTTCTTGCCAAACACCCCTGTGCACACACACATACATACATATATTATTACATACTATCTTTCTTGTATTTCCTTTGTTTTTTTTTGAGACAGAGTCTCACTCTATTGTCCAGGCTGGAGTGCACTGGTGCAATCTCGGCTCACTGCAACCTCCACCTCCCGGGTTCAAGCAATTCTTGTACCTCAGCCTCCCAAATTGCTGGGACCACAGGTGTGTACCGCCATGCCCAGCTAATTTTTGTATTTTTAAAATTATACTTCAGGTTCTGGGGTACTGTTACATAGGTATACCTGTGCCATGGTGGTTTGCTGCATCCATCACCCTGTCATCTACATTAGGTATTTCTCCTAATGCTATCCCTTCCCTATCCCCTCACTTCCTGCTATCCCTCCCCTAACCCCCTAACCCCTGACAGGTTCTAGTGTGTGACGTTCCTGTCCTTGTGTCCATGTGTTCTCATTGCTCAACACCCACTTATGAGTGAGAACATTTTTGTATTTTTAGTAGAGACGGGGTTTCACTATGTTGGCCAGGCTGCTTTTGAACTGACCTCAAGTGATCTGCCCATCTTGGCCTCCCAAAGTACTGGGATTACAGGTGTGAGCCACCATGCCTGGCCTGCCTGGTCCCTTTTAAATGTCCTGCTGGACCTCTGTGTTCCTGAGTATACATAAGTATACTCAGAGAATGAATTCTACCTAGAAATAGAGTGGGAGAATTTTCTACAGTTATGCCTCGGCTGTAGTTTGGATGGAGACAGAGGCTGAGGATATGACAAGGTGCCTATAATAAGAGGGAGTTAATGGCTTGACAATTAGCTTGGTGGTTGTGTGCAAGATGAGTAAGAGGAGAAAGAGCAGCATATGAAGGAGGCTAAGGAAAATCCTAACAGGACAATTTAACATTTGGATATCGTGAACCTTGACTCTGATTGAACTCCAATCCACCTCCTCTCATTTCCCCATCATGCCTTTATCTCCTTGTTCTGATTACCCTACTCATTCATTCTTCTGAGATGGCTTACCTGATTCTCAGAGCTCACCCTGCATCCTTGTTAAAAATCTT